TCCGATTTAATGGTAATTTCCCAACTTTTTTTTTTTATTCGGACAGATGGCTAAAGATATCAACTGTAGTAGTGGGATTATCTTCATTTCCCATCATTTCATAGTAATCAGCTTTAATGGTAATTTCCCAACTTTGTTCCCACGAAGCTTCTTCTCATGATACTCCATTTCTTGAGTTGTTAACTGAGGCTGGAAGAGGTAATATGATATTAGTTACACAGATTAAATTTTGTAATTTTGGAACACAAATCTTCATTTTTTTTGACACAGATTACATGAAACCTCGAGGCAGGAGGGTACACATACATAATTATCCCTGTACTTGGTATCTTCTAGCATTTTTATATTCTATAATGCAAAGATAGGAACGGGGCGGGTCAGGCACAGGGCACAGGTCGACCGGTCCCGAATGAGGTCAGGGCACGGGCCCGACCTGTTGGACCCATCGCGGGTCGCGGAGAAGGTCGGATCCACAAGGCAAAAATGCGGGCCAGGTGGGTGTGCCGGTACCCGGCCCGACTTGGCCCATTGCCATCCCTAAACCCAATCGACCGATAGATTTTCGTTTAAAACCGAACCGAACCATAAAATTTCAGTTCTGTTTTCGGTTAACAGAAAATTGGTTCGGTTCGGTTTTAACCAAATGTGCACCCCTACTAAACACTCATTTTAAAGTTTGGGTTGAAAAAAGATAATTGATTGATAATATTGGCGGGTATACTAGTCCCCAATCGGAAGAGTCCTATCAACTTTTGTGCAAATTCTTGTGTTAGTCGTGCCAAACCATCATACCTTTTATATAAAAATGTATAGTTATGTTATGAAATGTCATTACTTTTGTTTATATTATTTTTTAGAGAATGATAGTTCAGTTTGGAAGTATAGATATCTGTTGAATAAGTATGATGAATACACAACCATTTGGTCTGTGTTCTGCCTAACAGCAACTACTTTTGATATTCTTGCCTTAGCTGTAGTTTCAGTGTGTAGCTTTGAGTTTCAGTTCATCCTTTCCCTTCATTTTTCATTATTTTTTTTTTTTTTCCTTTTTTCTATCCTTATGTCTTCAGCAAGCTGCTTGTTTCAGAACAAAACAATCATGCAGAAAACCCTAACACCTTACAAGACACCAATGGAAGACAATGACCCGGTCGTCTCCGAGTCCGAATCTGAATCGGACGACGAAGACGAGGCCGTCCAGCTCAGCCAGCCCTCGAAAACTGCCGTGAACGACAAAACGGGCCTGCTCGAAAAGCTTGCTGACATCAGCTGGCCCGAAACAGCCGACTGGCTGCACAGGCTCTCGTTCAACATCGACCAGGATCAGAAGGTAGACGTGAATGACGACTTGAACCGTGAGCTTGCCTTCTACACGCAAGCACTTGAGGGCGCCAGGCTGGCATTCACGAAGTTCCAATCTGCGGGCCTGCCCTTCTTGAGGCCCGCTGATTACTATGCTGAGATGGTAAAAACTGATACCCACATGGAGAAAGTGAAGGGCCGTCTCCTGGTTGAGAAGAAAAAGGCCGAGGAGGCCGAGGAGAGAAAGAAGGCCCGTGAGAATAAAAAACTGGCTAAGGAAATCCAGGCACAAAAGCAGAAGGAGCGGGCCAAACAGAAGAAGGAGGATATTGAGTCCGTCAAGAACTGGAGGAAACAGAGGAAGCAGAGCGGGTTTGCTGGGGGCGAGGATGGTGACTTTAGTCGGGCTTTTGAGGATGGGAAGTCTTTTGAGAGGTCCAGTAAGAAGAGGCCTGGGGTGGGCCCTGGGGACCGTTCGGGCGGGAAGGGTAAATTTGGAAAGGGGACGAAAGGGTCTGGGAAGAAGAGGGAATTTAGGGACTCGAAGTTCGGGTTTGGTGGGAGAAAGGGGTTGAAGAAGCAGAACACGGCCGATACCACAAATGACTTTAAGGCTTTTGGTAAGAGTAATGGCCCAAAGAACAAGAAACAGAAAGTGTGAGGGTTAGTGTTGTGCTCTTTTTGGTGGTGTGTTGAGAGTTAAGACGATTTTGATGGCTTGTTCTGTGGCTGGGTTTATTTTAGTCTAAGTGAGTTTATGCTTTTTTATTTCTTTTTTGTCTCGTAAGTATGTTTTCTTAGAAATTATTTCATGTTTCTGAATTTTTGGTGTCTTGCAGATTATATTTTTTTTTTAAATCTTTATGTGTTGGGTCTGCAGCTGTGTGCTTATATTTCTTTTCGAGTACTTTGTCCACATCGTTTCAAATCATTTATCTCTTATATTTTTACTTCAAATTAATTTTAATCATTTTATTTGAAATATTAATTTAATAGAAATTTGAAGTTTCATTAACAACTAATCATACTATTTTTTAAAAAATTAATCATGGTTAACCAAAATAAAAATGAATGAGCAATAATCATCCTTTGCAGAAGTTCTTACATTGTCCCACATGACTTTAGAACCTAACGAGTTACATCGAGCCGAACATATCATCTAGACCTGGACGACTGACTTCGCGAATAAGATGATGATAAAACCTGCATTATATTTTTTTCGAGAATGTCAGTTTGGCAGTATACTGTATTATATGTGACGGCAGAAAATTAAGCCATACGCTAATAATCCTCGCATCGACATTTCACTGAGTTCCTTAAATAACTTACAGAGCTAAACAAATATAACCATGCGTAAGCTAAAACCGAAAATGAAGAAATGGAAGCTCAAACAAACAATAATAAATTTTTTTTTTCATAGGAAACGAGTAGCTGAAATAGCGCAGTACCCAATGTTGGGAAATAAGGTCGGATAAAATGGAATAACAACAACACACCAATGTGAAATTAATAGAAGACACGAAGATTTGTTAACCCAGTTCGGATTAAATCCAACGTCTGGGGACGAATCAAGCCAGGAGAATGAACTAAAAGAAGAGGATAAACCGAGTGTTACAACTCACACAAACCCGTATGAATACACTCTCTCGACTCTTTCTTTACACTTATGTGTTTCTTTCTTTCACTTGGATTGGATATAAATAAGGTTACAAAATGATATATTTATAGCCAAACAAATCCTTCTTGCGAGGAAGTTGTGAGGAAGCTCCCTTCCTTTGACTAATCTTCACACCTCAACAATCTCCCACTTGAAGATTAGTCAACCTGTTCATCTCTGCTCCTGGTTCTGCCAGGTCTGCCTGTTTTAATCATCAAGGTCGGTCGCAGCTGCACACAGCTTCAACTTTTCCAAAGTTACCGCCTTGGTCACCATGTCTGCAGGATTTCTCTCTCCTGGAATCTTTTTCAGCTTCAAGACCTTCTTCTCTAGAAGTTTCCGGATGAAATGATACTTAACCTCGATGTGCTTCGTTCGCAAGTGAAACGCGGGGTTATTTGCCAAATGGATTGCACTCTGGCTATCACTGTATAGAGCCACATCCTCCCGAGGTCTCCCAAGTTCATTCAGGAAGTTTTGCAGCCAAACGAGCTCCTTGGCTGCCTCGGTCACTGCCACGTACTCAGCTTCCGTTGGGACAATGTGACTATCTTCTGCAGCTTTGAGATCCAGGATACGGTTGTCCCGTCGTAGGTGAACACGTACCCAGTAGTACTCCTCTTCTTGTCAAGATCACTTCCTGCAAAATCAGCATCGACAAACCCAGACAGGGTAAGGGTACCCCTGCCAAATACCAATGCCCGGTCCTTAGTACCCGTCAGGTACCTAAAGATCCACTTTACCGCCTCCCAGTGAATCACTCCAGGATTGCTCATGAACCGGCTGACTACTCCCACTGCATGTGCTATGTCTGGCCGGGTGCAGACCATAGCATACATTAGGCTCCCGATGGCCGAAGCACACGGCGTAACTTTCATCCTTTCTTTTTCAGAGTCATCCTTGGGCGAATCCTTCTTGGACAACTTGAACTGGCTTCCCAATGGCACTCCAACCGACTTCGCGATATTCATATTGAATCTGCACAACACCTTCTCAATATAATCAGATTGAAAAAGCCAAAGTTTACCAGCATTCCTGTCCCTCGTGATTTTCATGCCCAGTATCTGTCTCGCTTCTCATAGATCCTTCATATAAAATCTCCTTGATAGTTGATCCTTGAGCCTCTCGATCTCCTTGACATCTGATCCGGCTATCAGCATGTCATCCACATATAGCAGTAAATAATGAAAGAGTTACCGAACCTTTTCACATAGCAACAATGATCAGCATTACACCTGGAGTATCCTGTCTCCAACATGAAATTATCAAATTTTCGGTACCACTGTCGAGGAGCCTGTTTCAGTGTGTACAAGCTCTTTTTTTTAGGCGGCAGACCTGCTGATCATTTTCTCTATACCTCTCTGACTGCACCATGTAAATTTCCTCCTCTAGATCCCCATGCAGAAAGGTCGTCTTCACATCTAACTGTTGCAACTCCAAGTTCTCCGCTGCTACCATTCTTAACACTAGACGAATAGTGGTTAACTTAACAACAGGTGTAAAAACATCGGTAAAGTCAATATCGTATCTCTGTTGGAATCCCTTCACTACAAGTCTGGCCTTGTACCGCTTCGTCCCATCTGATTCCTCCTTAATCCGATAGACCCATCTGTTTTGAAGAGCCTTCTTTCTTTGTGGGAGGTCACACAAATCCCATGTGTGATTCTTCTTCAACGAGTTCATCTCGTCGTTCATCGCAAGCTTCCACTTGCTCTTGTGGGCATCTTTAACTGCCTCTGCATAACATTCGGGTTCCCCACAATCAGATAAAAGTAGGTAATAAAGAGAAGGGGAGTACCTATCTGGGGCCCTTCTCATCCTCGGTTCTCGGCCTAGTGCCAGGGGTGTGCTGCTCTCAGCAATCGGTTCCTCCGATTCTGGTTCTGTCTCTTCTTCTGTACGCTCGATCTCATCCATCTGAGCTCCCACTGAATTTGCTGGTCTCATGATTCTGGTATTTAAAATATCGAGATCAACATACTCATGTCTGGTCTTGTCATCGCTCGGGTATTCCTTCATGTCCTTGTACATTATGTCTTCATTGAACACCACATTACGACTGCGAATTATTTTCTGATTTTGATCATCCCAAAATCTATACCCAAATTCGTCAGTCACATATCCAATGAATGTACATTTGACAGACTTAGCTTCCAACTTTGTTCGGTCGTCGTTCAAAACGTAAGACAAACAACCAAAGGTACGTAAGAAAGAGAGATCAACTTCCTTACCACTCCAGACCTCGTCTGGAATTCTGTTGTTCAGTGGGACAGAAGGCCCACGGTTGATCAAGAAAGCAGTCGTGCTGACTGCTTCTGCCCAAAACATCTTGGACAACCCACTCTTCAATCGCATGCATCTCGCACGCTCATTTAGTGTCATGTTCATCCTCTCAACAATGCCATTTTTTTTAGGTGTCCCTGGAACCGTCTTCTGAATTTGGATCCCACGATCAGCGCAGTATTCCTTGATGGCTTCACTGTTGTACTCGCCACCGTTGTCGGATCTGAGACATTTAACTTCTAGACCTGTTTCTTTCTCCACGAGTGCCCTCCATCTCCTGAAAGTATCAAAGGCATCGAATTTTTTTTTTCAGGAAGTACACACATACCTTTCTTGTGCAATCATCGATGAACGTCATGTAGTACATCGACCCTCCAAGGGATGTCACTGGTGCTGGCCCCCATAAGTCAGTGTACACGAGCTCCAGTTTTTCTGTCTTTGAAGCTCTCCCGGTGGTCATGAAGCTCACTCGCTTTTTCTTTCCAAGCACGCAATGCTCGCAGAGACCCACGTCTACTGACTTCAGCTCGGGCAAAAGTCCTCTCGACTTCAATACCTTCATTCCTTTCTCGCTCATGTGGCCCAAGCAACTATGCCACAAGTGCGGTTGTGAGACAGCTCCTGCCAAGGGAATATTTGAGATAGATCCACCCGCCATATAAAGTGTTCCTGACATCAGCCCTCTTGCCAAAGTCATAGCTCCTCGGCTTACCTTCCACTTTCCGTTTCCAAACATTGTGTGGAAGCCGTCATTGTCCATCTGTCCAACTGAGATGAGATTCCTCTTCAGTCCTGGAATGTGTTTCACATCCCGTAGGGTCCAGCATGACCCATTTGCGGACCTGGTCTGCACATCTCCCTTCCCTACAATTTTTAGGGGTTTGTTGTCTGCAAGATATACCACGCCAAAATCACCTGCGGTGAATGGCTCCATGATGTCTCTGCTACTGCAAGAGTGAAATGAGGCCCCTGAGTCCATGATCCAGTCATCGAGCGAGCTTCTCACACTTAACAAGAGTGCATCTGTTATGTCCTTCATCGCAGCATTGGCTGTCCAGCCCTCTTTGTCCTTCCTTGGTGCCCGACATTCGCTTTTCATATGCCGAGGCTTCTCGCAGTTCCAACACACTATCTCTTTCTTTCCTTTATTCCTCCCCCTGGATTTTGACCTCCCACAGATTTTCCCTAGTATGTCAGGTCTTCCTCTGGACTCTGTATGTAGGGTTGAGCCAGACGACCCACCCACCTGATTTCTGCGAGTCTTCTCGTCCAACATCATGTCTCTTATGTTGTCGAACTTCATCTTGTCCTTGCCAGAAGAAGTGCTCACCAATGTAACAACTACGTCCCAACTGTCCGGCAATGATGAGAGCAAGATCAGGGCTTTTACCTCATCATCAAACGAAATATCCACCGATGCCAGCTGCGTCGTGAGTTGGTTGAAATTGTTGAGATGATCGGCCACCGACTTCTGCTCCTCCATTTGCAATTTGAACAACTTTTTTATCAGCATCACCTTGCTTATTGCTGATGGTTTCTCATACATGTCGGCGGTGTCTGCAAGACCTCCTTCGTGCTTTTTGCCCCCTTCACATGGTAGGCCACGTTCCGAGAGAGCGAAAGAATTATAGACCTCATCGCCTTCCGATCGAGCACCTTCCATTCATCATCGCTCATTTTTCTCGGGCTTTTCCCCAAGAGGCGCGTAGAGGTCCTTCCTGTACGAGTAAGCCTCTATTTGCATTCGACAGAATCCAAAGTCAGAACCATTGAACCGTTCTACTGGAATCTTTCCCTCCATCTTATCTCCAACCTCCTGGCTCTGATACCAGTTGTTGGGAAATAAGGTCGGATAAAATGGAATAACAACACACCAATGTGAAATTAATAGAAGACACGAAGATTTGTTAACCCAGTTCGGATTAAATCCAACGTCTAGGGGCAAACCAAGCCAGGAGAATGAACTAAAAGAAGAGGATAAACCGAGTGTTACAACTCACACAAACCCGTATGAATACTCTCTCGACTCTTTCTTAACACTTATGTGTTTCTTTCTTTCACTTGGATTGGATACAAATAAGGTTACAAAATGAGGTATTTATAGCCAAACAAATCCTTCTTGCGAGAAAGTTGTGAGGAAGCTCCCTTCCTTTGACTAATCTTCACACCTCAACACCCGATACATCCTTGGGCCCTTCTTCAATACATAACCAGCAGTGTTTAAATTAACCACTAAGATGTCAATATCAGAAACTCTTAAGAAACTCTTAAACTGATGTTATCTGCCAAACTGTGTAGCTCATGAGTAAAAATGATCCAAATGGCAAATAGTGAGATATCTTCAGTTTCCTCCACTTGCATTTATTCCGTCAAAGTCTAGATAAAATTGCGAAGAATTAAGTTCATAGATCAAGAACTACTTGCAGATATAGAGAAACAATCTTTTTGCTTCGATTCAGATTGTTTATTCAAGGCACTTAAGAATCTCTTGGCTTCTTTCTGTCGACTCATTCCCCCACTACGCCCAAAATCGACTCTCGTCAACATATTCGTCGTATAACGAATCTTTCGTTATTTCAACAACATCCTGCACAAGTCGTACATATCAGAAATACTGGTTTAAATGTGGAAAACTAAAAGAAATGAAAACTTACTAAAGCATCATTGGAAGTGATGGTTATCTAGTAATTACTAATATAGTAATTACTAATTCAATTATCTAGTAATTACTATATTCCTTTAATATAGTTAAGTTTGAAAAAAAAAATATGGTATGATTAGTTGTCAATGGATATAAAATAATATTTAAAATAAAATAATTAAATATAATTTGACGTAAAAGTAAGAGAAAATAATTGAAGGTGATGGTTAGTTAAAATTATGTGAATTGATAAATAGTGAATTAAAGTTGATGTGACGTGTAAGAATGATTGATTGATATTATTTAATTATATTGATAATATTGAAAGTAGTAGTGTTGAGTTAAAGTTGAGTTAAATTTGAGTTTTGAATTTTGATTGGTTTTTTTTTTTAATGTCCAATCTATATCCAATCGCCCCTAATCCTAGGCATGTCAACAAAATCCGCAGGGTCGGGTTACCCACATTTTCGGGTCGGGTTTGAGTATGGTAGAAAACCCGTTACGTGACTCGATTACCCTACTCACTTACCTGCAAGCATTGAATCTTATAATATATATATATATATA